TAAAAAAAACTGTGTATCAATCTTGTTGGCAAACATCATAAACTGACTATATATCGGCATATATTTAAATACTAAATCCAAAGTACAATTTAACTAATAAATTTAAATTTATCAGTTAATTCAATTTCAGGCTATTTGAAATTTTAATACGTAACAACCAACCATTCAGAGTACAAATAAAACTGATTTGAAATTTAAGGGATCATTTCATTTTATACTTCTTATTTTCTATAGAAAATCGTTTCACCAAAAAATAAAATGAAATTCGGCTTCGATATTTATTAAACTTGCAAACGAAGTTAAACCAAACTCAACTTATAAGCGGTTGTCAATTTACAAAAGTTTAACTTGTGGCACAATTAGTTTTCAAAGCAAAAACACTTAACATTAGCAGAAAGTTTAAAATTTTTAATCACGCATTGCGTAAACGAAATACATACGTTTATAACTTAAAAGAAATCACGGGCAACTTTTACAACGTTTTTACTGATAAACAGGAACGTGAACGTCCCTGCTGGAAGTTAATAAGCTTCATCAGAATGCATAATTTCCCAGAGTTACACAAACATAGTACGTTTTATTATTGCGAATAAATCTGTTCCCAAATCTCTGAGAACGGTCGTCATTCTACGCAGACTGTTACATCACGTTGAATTGAAAATGACACCGAGTCGTTGCAAGTCGACTGGCTCTGAAGGGTAGGTGATCCATGTTATATGGAACCAATTAATATTTTCATATATAAACCAGACAGCACACAATAGCTTGCATCAAAGCCACCGTTGCTTTCGTTAATATTAAAAGCTGCTATTTTTACTATATAATTGAACAATAACGCAGAATGAAACGCCAGAGGAATCAATAGTTCATGTTTAGTGAAAAAGCATAAATAAACGATCTCAACAATAAATAGGGATCAATGTTGAATAAACAATAAAAACTTTTTATTAGTCTTTAAATTTCCTACGTTCGGCCTTATTGCAGATACCATTTTTATTTTTATATTCAACGATTGTTTGTTTGTTTGTTATGAATTTCACGCAAAGCTACACGATGGCTATCTGCGCTAGCCGTTCCTAATTTAACAGTGAAAGACTAGAGGGAAGACAGCTAGTCATCACCATTTACCACCAACTCTTGGGCTACTCTTTTACCAACTGTCACATTATAACCCCCACGGCTGAAAGAGCTAGCGTGTTTAGTGGGACTGGGATTCGAACCCGCGACCCGCAGATTGCGAGTCGAGCGCCCTAACAGCCTGGTGTTACGTATTATAATTTCAAATAGCCTGAAATTGAGTTAACTGATAAATTTAAATTTAGTAGTTAAATTGTACTTTGGATTTAGTAGTTAAGTAAAAATACGATATACAGTCAGTTTATGATATTTGCCAATAAGATT